AACTAAGTTTTTTAGGCAGAGAGGTAGGAAACATACAATAAAATAGCCCATAAGTTCTTCCCCATTTTGACACATGTTCCATGATTGTTTCTCATCTTTGACCACACTCTTATGCCTGTCTTCACTCCCTGCCCATTTTAAAAGTTGATCTGTGGATCTCATAGTACGAGGTAGTGTGAAGAGGCTCGGTAAGCCAGTATCTGAACTACTGGTTCTATTACTGGTCCATAGCCACAGCCAATATGTTACTCACCACCTTTGTGCCTCAGTTTCCTCATGTGTGAAAGGGGAATAATATGACCTCCTTAGAGATTGTTGTAAAAATTATGTGAGATACAGTATTGTGATTGCAATTATTATTTCTATTTATTTATTTAATTATTCATTGAACTTTCTACCCCATCAGTCACTGTGCTAAGTATTTGCAGTTATTAGCAGTGGAACAGACAGAACTTTCTGCCCACACAGAACATAAATTCTATTTTTATAGTTCATCCCAGGGTTTGACCATAGGGTAACAAGCAATAGAAGAGAATCTAATTTTAATGGTCAAAGAGGTTGATTCTATTCAGGTTTCCCATCAGAGATGAAACACCTCAAACTAGACACATCCTGTCTTTCACTGGGTTCATTTTGTCAGACACAGGAAGCTCCAAACATTGAGTTTCTCCATTTATTTGGTTTCATTGGGCTCCATTAATCCTAATCTCTTAGATTCAATATTTTTTCCATTTAACTTTATAAACCTAATTCATATGTGGCTAACTTGTTTATATTACTCCTTTTCATTTTTCTATGATATTAAATGTTTGTTTTTACTCAGACTTTTGACAGATGAAAATTCATAATGTGGGTTAATGAATTTCAAATAAGGAATCAAATTGATTTTAAACTAAATTTGATAATGAACTGAATTTATTAGAACTTACATGACTGAAATCACATTAACCAAAACAGTATGATGTATCATGTAATGTTTCAATATTAATAATTTGATATCTCAGAGTCATAATACTGGCAAAATGCCATATGAAGATGAAAAAAAGCCATTGGTATGTAAATGTCATACATAAGGGTAGTTTCAAACAAATATTTTAAATTATCACAGATTTCCTCAGAAATACTCAATATATCATAAATACAAGATAAGCTTTTACTTCAGATTTTACATTCATAAAATATTTTATGTAAAATTAGTAAATTTTGATTCAGCAACAGAAATTATTGGCATATTGTCCTTCATTCTAAAAAGATTTAACATGTGAAGTACTATAAATTGTATAATATTTACCTTTATGCATGTGGAATTAAAAAAGAAATAGCAGTCATTCCCAACTTCTGCCATTTTCAACTCTTGTGCTGCTAATCCAAAGTTTTTAATATAAAAATTGCAGAAACACAAATATAAGGACTATCAGTGTGTAAGGGGGAAAAGACTTTCTTTTCCACAGTCTTTCAGGCTATCAGTAGTATTCCTTTAAAACTGACCTGCTGCTGACAGTATATTACACAATAGGTAATTCTTAAAGAAATTTAAATTAGAAGATACCTTCTCTAGCTTTGCAGAAATGTTGAAAGTGGTTGCTAGTAAGCACACAAACTCAAACTTCCAGAATTTTCCTCATTGTTACCAAATCCATTGTTTGCTCATCATAAGTGACCTCACATGTAACTGTAGGTTAGTTTACCTTAGCAAATACTGTGCAGTATTTCTCTTAATCAATTCTAGTATATTAACCAAAAATGACTAGTAAAAATAAAATATTTTCTTTCAATGTTGTGATTGAATATGAACATAAATTAGTTAATAAATTTCATGTTAAATTATAAGGTATTTCACAACTAAATGGCTATTTTCTAAACTTTATTTCTACATATGATTTGAAAATAAAATTAAAATTTTAAATAGGTAAATATATTACTTATGTTTCAAGATAATAAATTATTAAAATATATACTCACTGCTATTCACTGATTTGAAAAAAAATCACTCAGACTTCAATATTTTAATAGGTACCTGAAAATAAATTGGATTACTTATTCATCTTGTAGCTGTATTCCATTCATTATTCATCCATCATAAAATGAGGAAGAGATTCTTCCTAAAGTGGAAAGCTTCCAGAGTGTTTGCAAATTTTGAGAATTTGTTGAAAGCAAAATGATGTACTCTGATTTCCAGAATGAGACATTTCAGTCAGCAGTTGAGACCTTTCTTCATCTTAGTATCTTTACTAAAAGTACTAGAACCTAGAAGAAATTAACAAAAATATTCAAAGTAGGTGACTTAGAAGATGTCATAAGGATGATAGATTGCAGTAGATCAAAATGTACTTTTAAATTGCAATGTACTCTTAATTGGAAACTTAAAAGATCAAGAGATATGGATCCTCATTTTTGTCTAAGTAAAACAGACTAATTAGTATGAACTTGTTGAAAACAATGCTTTCGGGTAAAAATCTAGGAAATAAAACAAGAAACTAATATTTAGAAAACAGTTGTTTGTTTATAACTATAAGTAAGAGAATATAATAGAATGAAGTAGGCAGTATTAAAAATAAGTGAAAAGTAGAGAATAAATATTTGGCTGAACCCTTTAATATATTAGTAGAAATTAATGGAAAAATCTGATAGTTTGTATTTTATTTTGCCCTACTAATTCTACAACAAAGTGTCCGTCTTAGGTACATAGGTTACTGGGAAAAATACCCTTAAACAATATATGTAATTAGTCTTTACATCCAGGTAAACTACTCCACCTATCAAGTTTCAGCTGCATTAGACTATTTCCAAATACTATTACCAAAGAACATTATTGCATGATTATGTGTAGTTCCCTGATTAAAGCCACTGCAAAAATCCATGTTTTACATTTGGAAAAGGCAGAAATAATGTTTTTACCTCTTGAAGTATGTCATGAACAACTACATTCCAATACTCAGCAAAAACAGGTCAAACCAAAATGGGTTAATTTTTTTGTTTTGCTATTGTTTTTTGTCATTTCAAAGAACAATAAATAAATCTGTATATTTTGGTAATCTGTATAATGCCTGGGGCTTTAATCTCTTCTTTTTTTCTAAATTCTTTTCTTTTTCTTCATTTTCTTTCCTTATTCACATCTTTCCTATTGTAAAATTCATTCTCATCTTCCAGGGAAGGCTATGATCATACCATGATGATTTTTCCTCCTAGTAAAAGAGTAATGGGAAATTTGCCTCTGTAGCTGGGGATAGGCCCAAAAATTCTGTAAATGTATTTTGTGTTGGCTGAGGTAGACTCATACTATGCCTTTCATCTTAGGAGAATGCTAGCACACTAACACATCAGTCAGAGAAGAAAGTCTCTTCCAGTGCGTAACCAATAACACCACTTTAAGTGTGGGGGGCTGGTAGAAACCTCTTGATGGCTCTACAGGTTTCAAGAGAATCAGGCAAGCTGCTGGCTACTTCCCATCTGAGTAGGGGTCTAGTTTATAACCTTGGATTAGTCCTGTGGCTCTTTCCTGACTTTGACTTCTGTTTCTGCCAGAGGCTTTGCTCCAGGCACTAATGAGCAAAAGCACTGGAAATTGTCATTTCTTGAAGAGTGGTTCGCCTTACTGCTACTATTCAAAAAGCAAGTGGAATGTTTTTAAAGATAACCTTTTCCCCCAAATGATAGAATGTTAGACCTAGAAGATTCTGTGGCAGTTTGGGAAATGACAGTTGATAGTTGTGAGGGTTATTTAATTGTTGTTTCCTTGAAACTCATGAAACAAGATGCTTTTTAGGATTCCTTTGGAGGAGTAAAACAGTTACTAGCTCTTGAATATAATAAAATGCTAAGAACGTTCTGGTCCCAAGATCTTGCAGCCAGCATCAGGTGAAGCCCTCTCCCAACCCCCTTAATTTTTTTTTTTTTTTTTTTTGGTCATGTCGTGTTTTTCTATGAGAAAATCAAAGATAGCAGAAGAGAGAGTAAATATTTTCAAATTACAGATCCCTTCTTTCCTCCCTCCCCTCTGAATCTAACAATCAAACAACTGTACTAGTTGTTGCTAGGGATATTTTGTTCTTTGGGAATTCCTTTATACATGTATAGATACTCTAAGTGAGACATAGTTGTTTAATTTTCCAATGGCTAAGTCAGGAAAATACTAAACATTGTGATACTTGCTGATAAAGCAATTACAGAAATGAGACCTAGGTCTCGTCAAAACACATAAAAAATGGCCGTAGTGAAATTCCCTTACTGAGAGATTACTAGCTTCCATGAGACAGAAAGGTTATTACTAAATATTTAAAATTTTATTTTATTCAGTCATTGATTGTCTTACCACTACCCTCCACTATTGCTTTGAGAAACAGTCAAAGCTGTTTTAGTTCTGCAGTTGACTGACTACAAGTACTCTAGCCATTTGGACTGACGGAACTCATATTTAAGACAAATGAGATTCCTACGGAAAAACTTTAGATTTAAATCTGGTTATAGGTATTCGTGCGGTTTTGGGTTACTTTAGGGCTAAACTTTGCACTCACTCCTTAACATCAGAACCAATTTCGACCATGTTATGGTTCACAATGAGGGGTAATCCAAAAGGTAATTACTATTTTGTCCCAGGTGTTTTTAATTATAGCGTTCCTTAACGTTCTTTCTAAGAAATCAGTTTTCATTCTGCTTTGGGATGTTTCTGGATATTTCTAAACTTCTACAGTGCTTACCTAGAAACTCATTAAGAGAACAGGCAAATAAATATGTTTCAGGAGACGAGTTAAATCGCAATTGAAATGATTCGTTACTTAGAACTTGAAATTATTTAATTATCATAGATATCACCGGTAACTAAATGTAGTTAAGTACACACACCCCAGAAACGGTTCTTTGTTTTGTTCAATGTCATCAAAACCGGAAAGAAGCCCTGGGGACGGCACTTAGCAGTGTGTCGACTTCCGCACTACAACTCCCAGAAGGCACCGCGGTCCGGTAAGCTTCTGTGCGTACTACGCCGCCGCACTCTCGGTATTGTAGGTCGTAAGCGCAGCCGCCGAGCCTGAGCGTGAAGTGTGCGTGGCTAGAGTGCGACGCCTGACTCCTCTCTCTGCTGGGATCAGGTGCTCTTCCGAAGTGGACTTTGCATTCCTACTGCCTGTCGTGCTCACCATGAAGCGCCTGGGTTCGGTGCAGCGCAAAATACCGTGTGTTTTTGTGACGGAAGTGAAAGAGGAGCTCTCCACCAAAAGGGAGCATCAGGTAGCAGGGTGTGGTTGCGCGCGGGCTTCTCCCCTTGGCTTTGGCTCTGGCTCTGTTTCAGTCAGGCGAGGGTGCGCGGGCGAGTTGTAGCCGCTCTGTTGGCTGGGAGCTTTTTGGAGGTTTAGGGTAGGGGATTCGTACGACCTGAACTCCAACCAGGTTCTTCTACCTTCTCAGTTACGAGGGAGGAAATCTACAAGAGGAATTTTCTGGTCTGGCGATTCAAACCTCTGCTCGCGTAGATATTGAAAACCACATCTTAAATAATACTCCTTTCTTCGCAGGTTACTACTTTTGGGGAAAACCCCTTAAGTATTATATTTACATAATCACCGCAGTCCAAGCCTTCTCTCCAAAAGGATGGTGATTAAAAAAATTATAATAATAAAAAAATGTTAAAAAGATGGTGACAAAGAGGAGTTTTTAGAGGAAAAACTTGCTTTACCTGTTCTCACTAGCCTAGTTTGGTCACCAAAGATCAAACCTCTTATTCCAGTAATTGTGAGATTTTTTCATTCTCTTGGCACCGAGTTTTACACCTGTAGGGCCCTGAGTAAACACTGGTGAATAAGGTTAGTAACCTGAATCAGGATAATTCTTTAGTATATAGCAAACCCCTTTATAGTAGATCCCCCAGTTATCAGTGGGGTGCTTCCAACTCATATAAAACCTGCATGTGTATTTGACATTCACCTTCAGCCCCCTGACATTATTCTCACTGGCCTTCTCCTTGTGTTCCAGACTGAAAGACCTTTAAGGCTAAGGCTGCCATGTTATCTGTAGTCCCCGTTTGTAGGACCTGACACTTGGTGGGCTCTGGATAAATATTTGTTGAAGAATGAACCCTGGAGTCATTTCATGCCAGTTTTCCATTTACCTTGATGCTTTTTTACTTATAACGTCTCTTTTTATTCTCCTGTTCTACTATCCTCACTGTTGTTACAGTTCTTAATATTTTACACTCCGCTTATCCCCTTGCCTAATCGTTCCTGCAACCAGAATGATGATCATTATGCTTTTTTAGTTAAAAAACCACAGTTACTACTAAATGTCTGTAGTAGTTGTCAAGCTTTTATTTTTTTCAAGCCCTGACAAACCTAATCCATATGAAACATTGTCATCCTGAATTTTCAGCTTTGTACATTGGGTGGCGAGCGTAGTTTGTAAAAGTTCCCTCCACCAGAAAAAATAAGCCTTTCTCTTGTCTATCTTTAATTTAGAGTAGCTTGTAGTATTGCTTATAGCAATGGTTTTCAACCGGTGTTATGCGAGAATTTTTAAAACATGCAATACCTTCCTATTTAGTAAGGGGCAGTGACCTCTTTTTCCTTAGATTGTCAAACAAAAAAAAAAAATGAAAGTAAATTACAACAGCCAACACAACAATACCATCTTGTGTGAATGCCCTGTCTTGAATCATAAATATATAGGTCATATAATGGAATTGCATTTTATTGGTCATGTCTCATAATAAGGTTGTGTCTGATTGGTTAATTCTTGGTACCAGAAATCCTTATATGCAAGTATAGGCACCTGCATTTTTAAAAGTCACTTTGGAGCAAAAAGGATAGGTAATTACTGTTATTTTATTTTATTTTATTTTTTGTAAATCAGTCAAAATTATACAGGTTATTTTGTCACATTGGCAAAAATATTGTTTGGCGTGCCACAGAATTTTAGTAATTAGACTGTATATCCCATGAAGTGAAAGGTTGAAAGTCGCTGGCTTATAGCATAGCATATAAGTCCTTAACTATAATTCAAGGCCTCCTGTTCATCAGGCCCAGTCTATTCTCCAGCATCACTAAAGTGAAGTCTTATTCTCACAAAGTCTATTTTTTCCTGTGAGCATACCAGGCACAGTCCTGCCTCTCTGTATTTTTACAAATCTATATACTCAACCTAGATCACCTCCAGAATTCTTAATTTTTTGAATCAGACCTTCTTTATGAAATCTTAGTTATCTCAGTAATTTTTCCTATCCAGAAATTGTTGAGGACCACTTTACTGTCTATTAGTTTTTATACACGCACACACACGCCTCGTTTTTCTAGTCATAATTTGTCTATAATGGCAGTAAAGAAGGAGAACTTTGTGTGCTGCTTTTTATCTTATGTTGTCCTTTGGAAATGTCCACAGCAGAGAGTAGTAGACAATTTATTATGCAGGGGATATTTGTACTCATCAGGAGCTCCACGGACAGAGTGATCTCCTCTCCAGGATCTTTGATAAATTTAAACATACTCTAATGGGCCAGACCTTGGTTCTGCCACAACAGGTTGAATTGATATCCTTTGATACTGATGTCATAAATTAGTTGTAAATCCCCCAGTCATTCAGTTTTATGTTAAAAAAGTATTGAATCAGTACCAGAGTGAGGAGGCTACTTTCCTAAGTTTACTCGACTCTGAAATAATACTTCCACTTAGTCTTAAGCTTATTCACACAAGTGTAATGTTTATATGTTGCAGTGCTTTTTTCACATTATGAAAGGTGAATGTTATATCAAATAGTTGAGACTGTAATCAGTAGCATAAAGCTTTCTCAGAAATGAAAATGTATTACACATGAAAAGTTGATAGAAACACTAGAAAGTCTTTTCCTCCGTTGTTGATACTCTTTTTGCTTTGTCTTCCTGACAGCATAAACATTGTAACTTAAATACGCAGTTTAGGCCCTACTACAGCTGAAAGAGCCCCTGCTTGTTTTTCTCCTTAGCACTTATCAGACCTATTATGCGTTTTGTTTTTGTTTTCTCCCTTGTTAAAAAGAAAGTTCCGTCAAAGATAGGTACTTTTCCTTTCATCTCTGTATTTTCCAGGCTAAGAACAATGCTTAACCCTCAGGAGCCATTTAGCACATAATTGTCAAGTAAGGGATTGAACAGACTAAACACTATGGTAGGGATGCAGCGCTGCATAGGACGTGGTGCCTTCTGTCAAGCTCATTATGGTGGATTAAAAGAAAAAAAGTGAACAGTCAGTAATCTGGAGAAAAACAGGTATTGCTTAGCATGTACCTGTTACATAGAAAGCAGGGAATAGTACCTGAGAACTTTATGGACAAAACATTTTTAAACTGTCTTGAAGGTATACAGAAGATTGCCCCTTAGAACTAGTGGAATTAAGAAATTAAGAACATCCCAGGTGAGAATGTGTGCAAGCGCATAGATGGTGTCTGTGTTAAACCAGTTTTTCTCTTCTCTCTCTTTTTTAAGCCATTTAAAGTTTTGGCAACTGAAACTGTAAGTCACAAGGCATTAGATGCAGATATATACAGTGCAATTCCAACAGAAAAAGTGGATGGAACATGTTGTTATGTTACTACCTACAAAGGTAAAATAAAACTACTACAAATACTGTTTATTACTTCGTACCCATTAAGGGCTCTACAGTATGATAATTGCATTATACGTTATCTCTAATTTGTACAGTAAGTTCTCCATTTCATACGTATAGAAACAGAGGCCCAGAGGACTTAAATAATTTGTCCAAAACTATGTAATTAATGAATGGCTGAACTGGTAATAGAGCCTAGGTTTGTCTAACCCTAAAGCTGATCCCAGTGCTGATTCCATGTTTTCATTACTATTGACAGTGTCTCTTGATTTATTTTATTTTAAAGTACTTTAAAAAAATGTCAAAAACTCAAGTAGAAATTGTCCACTGTGTTAAAGAAAAAAATACATTGAAAAGAGAAGTAATCTTTGTAATTCCTTTTGGATGGTGAAATTACCTCTCAATTCAAGCAAGGAAAAATAGAACAGTTAAATGCAAATTGGACATATTTCTGGTATCAGGAAATCTCTTCCGAAATGCTTTTTTCCCCCCCATTTTTAATTGTGATAAGAGATACATAACATGAAGTTTACTACTTTAACCATTTTTAAGTGTACAGTTCAGTGACACATACAGTTCACCCTGTGCTATTATTACCACCATCTAGCACTAGAACAATTTTCATCTTCCAAAACTGAAACTCTGTACCCATTAAACATCTCACCATTTCCCTTCCCCTCCAGCGTTTGGCAAACACCTTTCTACTTTGTATGATTTTGACTAATCTAGATAACTGTAGTACAAATGCTGGAATCATATATAATATTTGTCTTTTTGTGACTGGCTTATTTCAATTAGCTTGATGTCTTCAAAGTTCATCTATATTTTATAGTATATGTCAGAATTCCCTTCTTTTTAAAGGCTGAATAGTACCCTGTTGTATGTATATACCATATTCTCTTTACTCATCCATCGATGTACACTTGGGCAGCTTCTACCTTTTGGCTATTGTGAACAATACTGCTATGAACGTGGTGTAAAAGTACCTTTTCCAGACCCTGCTTCCAAGTTCTTTTGGGTATATATCCAGAAGTGGAATTGTTTAGTCATATAATTCTATTTTTAGTTTTTTGAGAAACTTCCATACTGTTTCCCATAAAATTTGCACCATTTGCATTCCTACCAACAGTATACAGGTTTCTAATTTCTTCACATCCTCACCAGTACTTGTTAGTTTATTTTTTAATAGTAACCATCTTGATGTAAGTGAACTGTATTTTTGTTTACTAGTGAAAAGAACAAAAGGTCCATTCAGCCAGAAATGACACTATAACTTTAATCGGGTTCTCCTGTATTTATGTTAAGAAACTTCAATGTGTATAATTTTGTGTGATTATGTATAATGATAGCAGTTGAATAAGGTTGGATTGCTAAAGAAAACTTAGCAGTGACATTGCTTACAAATCCAGTTTATTACAGGTGAAGGAGATATAGTAATGCAAGGGTATTAAAAGTAAGGATTTACAACACAGCCAAAAACTGTGTCACAGCAAAGGGTCAGAAGAGATCAGGTGAAAGCTCCTGTTGCCCCTCCACCCTCCCACACTGCAGGCACTAGAAGGACACTCGCTTAAGCAGGAACCCCGGCTGTGTGCCCAGAACACCTTTGAAACAGGGAATCCAAAATAGAGTCTTAGCTGGGCATTTTTATATTTTGCTGGTCACAAAGGCACCTTCCTGCTAAGTAACCAGCCTCAACAGCAGAGCGGTCCTGGAGTCTGACTCTCATTAATGAAGGCAGGCACACTGCCCTGAAACTTCTCAAGCCCATGGTTACAAAATGTCTATTAATCAGTGCTTTATTCCTTGACCAGGGGTCACGCCTTGCAGAGCAGTTTAGCCTAATTCCAAATCTTCTGGGTTTAACCCATAGTTAAAATCTTTCAGGGAGGGTGTGAATTATCTGGTTATATTTCCATTTAGTATAGAGGTAGCTCCAGTTTCTCACAAAAGCTAGCTATAATAAAATATGGCCTTGCGAAAGGGCCACATATTTTCTTTTTGTATCATCCCCATAATTCTTTAGCCAAAACTTGTCTTATATCAGGTACCACTTGGTAGAATGGGTCTGTTAGACTGCTTACTTCACTTGGTCCTCTAGGGTTGCTTCTCTTGAAGAAGATGGCCCTGCTATTTATTGAAAATTTTTATTCTGAAATGCGTTTTAAAGTAAATTTTTCATTGTTTTCCTCGTAACATTTTTCTTTTCCTTTTATAATTTTTTTTAGGTCAGCCGTATCTGTGGGCCCGACTAGATAGAAAACCTAACAAACTAGCTGAGAAAAGATTTAAAAATTTTCTACATTCAAAACAAAATACAAAAGGTTAGTAGGTCTTTCTTTTCTTCAGCTTTTCATGATTTGTATACCCGAAATTTGTGATTTAGTTCTTGCTGTGGTGTTTTTATACATTATATCCTTTTGTAAAATTAAGCACGTTGGGGCAAAAAATTAAAATTGAATATATGTAAAAGAATTTTCTTGAAAAATATTCTAAAATGTTTTTCTGACATTCCTCTTACTCTTCATATAGTAAGTCAATTTTATTAAAACACAAATTTACTACATATATTATAATGAGCAACACATTTTGATTGTGTCTGCATAAGAGACAACCATGTAATCTTATAAATCAGGTACAAATCTCAAACGATTATTATAATTTTAATCATTAATGACAATATTATATCAGTAGATACATACTTGTTGCAGTCTGCTCATTCATATATGTAATCTGTATATATGTATTCATAGTGCATTAAAAATTCATCATAAATCCACACATGGGAACACTGGCTACTTTTAGTTAGACTGTTATTCCGTATTTGCAAATGCTGGTGTGTTCAAAATTGAAAATTTAAGGTGTTAGTACCCTAACCCTGAGAAGTATAGTCACATTATGGCGATAATGAATGAAGAATAATTATATGACACCTGATATTATGGGATTTATTAGCTATTCCTACTTTGATTTTGCTCAGTATTTTGTATTTTTTTTAAAGTATCACCACATATAAGATTATATAACTCCTTTAGAATTTTTTTGGAATGTTGAAGAGGACTTCAAACCTGTTGCAGAGTGCTGGATACCAGCGAAGGAAATAGAACAATTAAATGGAAATCCAATGCCTGATGAAAATGGACACATTCCTGGTATTGTGAAATCTCTTTTAAAATACAATTTTGTGTTTACTAGTACAAAGAACAAAAGATACATTTGATCAGAGATTACAGAATTTAGTTTTAATTTCATTTTTCATAGTATATATCTCTATGGCACAAAATTTCTTAGTTTATGTTAAGTAACAGTTTATACCAAAGATGCTTCATATCAAGAATGTTCTCTCAGGTTTAGAATCACTTCTAAGATGGACAGTTTACTACCTATGTAGCCTGTGAAAATAAAGTGTTCAGTCGGAATAGCATCTTTTCTGAAATGAGATGTTAGGAAGCCTCTGCCTTTCCGATTGGAGGTAACACTATGTGTATATTTTTTGCAAAGATCCTAGAAGACTATTTCAATTAAGGGAGATGAAAATAAGTATCTCACAAGTAGTTTTACTGGAGAAGACAAAATTTTTGCAAAACTGTGCCAGGTAGAAAGATGACTCAGAGGAAAGTTCAGGTTTACAGGCATGTCTTGAGTACCTAAAATGTACAAAGTACTCTTAGAATCTGGTAACACAAAATGAAGATCAAAATCCTTATTCTCAAAGGTCTTGTAGAGATAAGGAGAAGTCTGCCAATAATAGCATGATTTAAGAATGAAAAGGAAAAAGCACATAGGGTATAGTCAGAGAAAAGAGTGTGAATTCGTAGTTCACCTGTGGAGCATAAAGGAGGCTTCTAAGGGGAGTGACATCTGTCCTGAAGCCTGAGAGCCAGGATGTTAGCTGAAAGGAAGAGGGAAGGTGAGTTTGGGCAGACTCCCAGACGGAGAGATCATGGAGTCTTCTGGACATTTTATTTAACACTTTATTCTGGCTGGAATATTTGGGTATATGACATTTGAGGAGATTATAAAAACTGAGGCTGGAGATGTGGAATGGGCACAGATCTTGAAGGGTTTGTATTCCATCGAAAGGAATTTGAAGTGTATCCTGAAGTTTATTAGGCAGAGATACTGCAGAACTAAATTTGAATTTTTTTAATGGAACTATGATAAAAATGGGGTGGGGAGTGTTCCCATTGATCTGGATAATGAAATCAGAGATATGATGGTCACAATGGTGTGTATGTCATAGTATAGTGAGGAAGTCTTTTCTGACAGCTGAAGACAGGAATAGTAATAACATTCAATAGATGTGGAATCAATATTTTTTTCAGTAAATATGGGAACAAAACAATGAATTGTGGTACAGCTGCTGCATATGTCTGTTGTCCCTGAAACTGCAGAGAAGGGAGAGAGAAAACTTAATTTAAAAAAAAAAAAATTTTTAATTCTGTTTTAGAATGGTTCTCAATTCTTAATTGAAAAGGTGAGTTTTCTAGTAAAAATGCTGGGTGCACCGTAGTGAATAATCAAAGTAATTTCTCAACAGAATCAAAAAATGAAACCTTAAAATTTTAAAAATAATTTAAAAAGGAATAAAACTTATTTCTCTGACTTTTAAAAGTGATATTTGTGTGTGATAGAACATCCAGAAAATACTGAAAATTTACAACAAAAATAAAAATTACCTCAAGTCTCAATGCACAGAAAAACAGTGCAATAACAAACATGTTTTTCTTTAAATGATAGGTTGGGTACCAGTAGAAAAAAACAACAAACAGTATTGCTGGCATTCCTCTGTAGTTAATTATGAATTTGCAATCGCCCTGGTACTGAAGCAGCATCCTGATGATCCTGGTCTTTTGGAAATTAGGGCAGTGCCTCTATCAGATCTGTTAGAACAGACCCTGGAGCTCATAGGAACAAATATTAATGGCAACCCGTATGGTGAGTAAACCTTTGTTCAGTATAGTAATTCATTTATAAAGAGAACTTCCTAGGTTCAGCTTCCCGCCCCCCCCTCACCCCACAGAAATGACAAATAAATTTGACTTAAGAAGCCTAGGATTATAGCCATTTTTATAGGCATTTCTATTAATTTTATGTCCATGGAGAAATTTACCTAATCATTTTATTAGTCCACAATACTCTTTTTCAGCCTCTTTTTTTTTTTTCCCTATAATATTATAAAACTATGTAAGAAGGGTGTAACTCAAGTGTAACTTTTCATTGCTTTTTAAAATTTAGGTGAACTGAGCTGAAAGAAAATCATAATGTGCTGTCCATGGCTAGGTAATTAGTGTAGCATTAATTGTTAAGTGTAGAGAATAAAGAATTGGCGATGAATAACATATCAGGCTGTGATGAATTGAGTACCAGTCCCAAGGGTACAGCGGAATACATTGTTGACGGGGGATGAATGAAGACAGGTTCAAGAACATTACATCTTGAATGGCAAAGTCCTATATAAAGATGAGAAGCAGACTGGCAGGTGGAAAGGAGATAAGATAGTAATTGGACAAGTTAGCAGAGATCTGGCATGGCTGTTTGGCAAACATTGAATAATAGTGAATGTGGCTATGGTGTAAAGCAGGGAGTGGTGGACTTTTTTTGTGAAAGTCCCGAGGAACTTTTAGGTTTTTGTGGATACCTCTAAAACAGGCCACAGGTAGTATAATTAAATGAATAGGTGTGGCTGTGTTCCTTTGAGACTATATACAAAAACAGGCCTCTGACTGGATTTTGCCCATAGGTCATAGTTTGTGGACCCCTGGTATGAAGTAGACAAAAGTAGAATTTAGATTTACTGGGATATGGTGCCACTTTTGAGTGAGAGTACTTGTGTATCTCTCTGCGAAGAAACCGCCTAAAAGTTTTGTTTTTGTTGTTTTGTTTTTTAAGAGGTAGATTTTCTCATTCTTGAAACCTTTGTATGGCTAATGGCAAAATTTTACCACTTTAGGGTTAGGAAGCAAGAAGCATCCGTTACATCTTCTTGTACCACATGGAGCATTTCAAATAAGAAATCTACCTCCCTTGAAGTACAGTGATCTCTTGTCCTGGTTTGAAGGTTGCAGAGAGGGTAAAATTGAAGGAATAGTATGGCATTGCAATGATGGCTGTTTAATCAAGGTAAGGGCGGAAAATAGCTTGTGTGATTATGTCCTCTAATATTCCTAAAACAAAGTAGAAGTGGCACTAAAATACTCTACAAATTGCAGTAATGGTGTGATAAAGAAATTTAATTTGTTTATCTCACTTGTTGCCATTTTTTATATGATAGTGTTTCCCAGTGTATATTTATTCTGTAGGGTGTCAGTTCTTTTAGATGTGATTCAGAATTAAAGTGATGAAAATACCTGGAAAACCATGCACACTACATAGTCCCTTCTTAGAAATTAACGTTGCACGTCAGTGTTCCCTCAGATGTTTTTCGGTTACAGCATTCAATCCTGTCTAATCCAGCGCTCCCATTGTGTGTAACTCAGCATTTCCCAAACTTACTTTGTATAATTTGTTGAGTTAAAAGAGTGTCAAGGGTCAGTTAATGTATACAGAATGAATTATTTTATACTTTATGTCCTTTCTGTCTGTCTACTTGATTTCTCACAGGTTCTTGAAATTTGTCTTGTTCAAAACTGGACCTAGTTATAACAACCCCTGACTCCAACAGTTCACTGAAGCCAAAACCAGGATGGTTTTAGATACCATTTTTAAACGTGCTTTGCATTACTTCATACATCCGACTGCCAGTTCTTAAAGGTTCTGATGTATTGACTGTCTTTTTCTCCCCAACTAATTAGCTGTTAATTTTAATGTAAGCCAGGATTCTTACTTGAAATATTATGTCATCCTCTTAAAAGGTAACTCTCAGTGTTACCTCTGTCCTATCCATTCTTTATGAATGAATGAGAATATTAACTTCCTTGCATAAAACTGTTTAATGACATTAAGATTTTTCATGATCTGGCTTCTCTTAACTTTCTGGAACTGCCTCATCTCCCAGGCATACCCACATTTTATATGTTCTCACCATACTTAAATAATTAAGTAAAAAAAAAAAAAAAAAAAGCATTCTGTCTCATGATCTTCTCTTTGGGTAGAATGTCCCTCCACCCACAATTGGCTAGCTTCCATATTAGCATTAGATTCCTTTATTAAAATTTTTGGAGCCCCTGATTATGTTCCTGGCATGTTTCCAAGTCCTGGAAATAGAGTCCACTAAACATGTGTCTCTCTGCCTTCATGAAGCTCACATTTTAGTGGAGATGGACAGGCAATAAACAAATATGTAATATATCAGGAGGAGAAGCAGCTATGAAAAAATAAAGGGTAAGATAAAGTGGAGCCTTAAGTAGTGCCTAGCATTATGTTAAGCACTGAAATATTTTTAAGCAAATGAAGATTACAGCCTAAAGCTAATACCATTTTTTCTGTTTTTAGGTCCATCGCCATCATCTTGGTTTATGCTGGCCAATTCCAGATACTTACTTGAATTCAAAACCAGTTATTATTAACATGAACCTGAACAAACATGACTATGCTTTTGATACTAAGTGTCTATTTTATCATTTTTCAAAAATTGATAATCAGAAATATAGTAGGCTCAAAGATATAATACTTGATGTATAATCTGGAAATGTAATTAAAAACCAGCTTTATTGTTGTTCTATGTGAATCTTGAATATTCTACCATGTTTAAAAGGTAGAAGTATCTCAAGGTTCCTATTTATTGTTATCTGTAGTAGCTATATGTCTTACAGCATTTGAAGGAATGAATTTCCCAGTTGGAAGTACTTATTTAAAGTCTTATTTAGAATGAGCAAGTGAATTTTAACTTCTGGACTTAAACCTGTAATAGTAAGCTCCCCACCTTGTACAAAAGGGTTGGATTCCATCTTCTTGAAACTGGGTAGTCATTTAAAGACAACAATGAAACCACCAATTTTGGATCATTTACTTTCAAAGTTAAATAGTTTAAGCTGACTTTAATGTAATTTTGCTAAACATTTAAGAAAACATACGGCTCATTCTTATTTTATATATATATATAGCTCTATATATATATAAAAGATATACATAAAATTTAAGAACTGTAACACATATATAAATAGGTAAGTATATATAAAACCCCCAATTTGGAAAGTTAAAATGGTTAAAGTTTACCCTCACATTCTTTAAAAACTTAAAATATTATGAATGCACAGGCATTCATCCTGGCTTATAGCCTATTGGATAGTCGTAACACTTTGAAAATCCTCAAATATATACTTTTCTAATGTTAAAAATTCCATATAATTTTATTTACTAAAAATTCAAGTTTAGGTAAAGGTATAAGGTATTAGACAGGAAATCATATAGATCAGAGACTTCCTTGATTTCCAGATGGAATTTTAACTTGTAAAATTAATGAATAGTTAAATAATTTAAAACTACAGTTACAGCTGTCCCTTAATAAATGGGGAAATTAACAGGACTTTCCTCTTCGTCTTCGAGCTGTTCAGAAGCAGCAGTAGAACTAGACAATTGAACTCCAAATTGTTCAGAAAGTTTTTTTAACTTCTCTTCTAAGAGAATATTTTTTTTCACTTCTTCTTTATAATTGTACTTCAGATCTTCAATTTCTTCAAAAAATGAGGGATCAAAATTTTCTAGTTCTTTCTTCAGCTTTTTTATTTCCTCCTGATAGAAACATAATGTTTTTAAAAGCCATGCATAGGTACATAATACACTCTTTAGGTTTGAACTAAAGAGGTATAATTATAAACATGAAAAGTGTATTTGGCTATTCAGAAAGTAATCTGAATAGCCAAATACACTTAAAAAGGTACAGGTATTTTCTTAAGATTTTGTTAAGGTTTCATTGTGCAGTATAAGTAACTAACCTGTTAACTATCAAATCAAATTATTCTGTAAGTGATGTTCTAGTCCTCGACTAAAATTTATTAGCTTTTAAACTAGAGGGGGATTTAATCTTTCAAAAGCGTACTCAGATACTCAATGAGATAAGCAAGAACACATGGCTATTCACAGCATTAAGGTTTTGGTTAAAATTCTTTGGCTTAGACTTCATTTATATTTTCTTTACAAATATATAATTTGTAATGAATTAATGGTCAACTTCATATAAATATTTATGCCCAGGGAAACTAGGGCTTCTGCCTGGCTAAAGAGTTACACATCTGGTGAAGAGACAATTTGAGCTTTAACGACCATTTAGAATAGGCAGTGATCACTAGTTAACTTTTATGTTCTTTTGTTCTGTTTACAGATTCTTGAAGAGATAAAGCATAGTAAAGATTTTTTTTAAGGGAAGGGAACTTAATCCTGAAAAAAATTTCAAAAGGAAAGAGATACTGTTCACAATGTGACCAAAAACTTAACACTAAAACTGAGCTCTATATTTGTGACAATTAAAAAATAAATTTACTTTTTAATACTATTTGTCTCAATTTGTTTGGTAGCTCTTGTATAAAAAATAGTTTGAAACACATGAATATAATGGACTTTGTAGTGTCAAGGCCAACTATGTAAGTATAAAAGGTAATCCCAGAAATTTTTATGATACAACTTAAAACTCAAACACAGTAATGATAAAAATAGATTTCCACAGCTGTTTTCACAAAACATAGTGCTATAATTAGATATATTAAATACTTACCTTCAAATGCTGCTTTTCTAGATCTGAGGTTTTAAGCTGTATCTCTAGATCTTTTAGCTTTTCTTTTAGTTGATCAGGATCTGCCAAAAAAAAAAATTTAGAAAAATTAGACTCAGCTTTTTCCCACTCTTTTCACGATACAGGATTTGTTTTAGAGAATAAAGTTAGAAAGCTTATGAAACTAGAACCTGGAAATACATCATTTTATGGCTGACACACTTTAGGCTGTGACTACTATCTGCCGCCTCTCCCAGGTATGGTAATTCCATAGCAGACTGAGAAAAGGCATCTGTCAGATACTAGAGTTGTAGAGCGTGGTTAATTTTTCACATGGGAGAAACTTGTTTTCCATAGAGAAATTCTAGAGCCAGGAAAATTTGGTAAGTCCTAACAGGACAACAGGAGAATAAGCAGACTCTTAGATAAGGGCTACAACCGTAAGCCAGCCCAACGCCCCTGTTACCCAGCAGCATTGGCCCTTCCATATTTATGGTGAGTTACATGAAAAACGCATTAGGCGGGGTGGATAGCATGAAGGTGATGAAGTCCTGATACTTACGTGGGAAAAGTTCACAACACAGGGGCTTTATTTTATGGATTTCCTCCCCAGAGTTAACATGTCTCTTAATTTTATAATGAGAACCATTGAGCCAATGGTATTTTTGCTTGCCGTCTGCTAGAAACATTTTCTTTAAACACTACCTATAATGTGTGGTATGGTGGTCATTTTATAGCCATTGAAGGGTAAAATTATAAAAGTAATGCAAAAGTTTAACACAACACATTTTCATGAATGGGATTGAGAAGCGTGTTCTGTTAAGGTGTCCTTGAAATGGTCTATAAGTGGAGATGTGAAATATTTTCCTCACCCTTTTATGGAAATAGTCAGCAGAACCCTTCTATCGTCCTTTGGAAGGCAGAGCAAAATTGTACTTTTCAGAGCTCCCCTCACCTTTGCAGAAATATTTGCAGGAAGTGCAAATATTTTTACAGAACTAATTCTTAATCACTGGGATGCTATACTGAGTTGATCGTCTTAATCAGTGGAATGCTATATATTACATAGATTTGGTAATATGTAGCACTTTCCAAAACTTAATGACCACTTGTATTAAAACAGTGCTTTAGAATTTCCAGAGCAGTTTTGGTTTGATTTTGAGTCTTAGCAATCTTTGAAATATAGGTACTGTATCTCTTACAGGCGATAAGGAATATGGGGGTTTAGAAATTCCCTGTCAGGCCCTGGCTGATGTGACTCAGTGGACTGTCAGCCTGCAAACCAAAGGTTTGCTGGTTCGATTCCCAGTCAGGGCACATGCCTGGGTTGCAAGCCAGATCCCCAGTGGGAAGCATGTGAGAAGCAATCACACACTGATGTTTCTCTTCCTGTCTTTCTCCCTTACCCTCTAAAAAATAAAATCTTAAAAAAAAAAAAAAAAAAAATCCCTGCCAGGAGACTGAGGGTTAGAGAAAACTGCCAATGTCGACAGCAGTAAGAGGTCTTTGGTCTGTGTCTAGTCCAGAACACCAAGCTAGACGCTATGAGAGAGACTGTTGAGGGATCATTTTAGTCACAGGAAGTGTAGCATAGTGGTGAATAACAGAATGGAGAGGAACTTCAGAGTTTCCTAGATTTAGGTTTCATCCTGCCTCTCTCACTTCCTACCTGTGGTCACCTTGGGGACAGGTAACCTCTTCAAATATGTTTATCAGAGGTAAGAGAGAAAACAGCACCCACCATACAGGGTTATAAGAATTATAAAATGTTCATAAAGCACTTAGCATATGCACAGTGTATGAAATAGAAACTGTCCAGATATAAATTGGTATAATTCTTTGGCAGAGAATTTGGAATTTCCATCAAGTTTTCAGACATAGACACAGTATAAATAATCGATTCTCATTGTTTATAGTAGTTATGGTCTATAAAGACAGTGAATTAGTAAATATTGAACCATTGCTCTTAGAGGAAATAGGTCGTCTATACTTTAAACATTTAAGTATATTTCAGATTATAATCTTAAATCCTGGAAACAACTTATTCTGGTAGATTCTATTTTGTTTTATAAAAGAGAAAACAAGGTTTAGAAGTGTCAAGTTACTTGCCTCAGGCTGCCCCAATAATTGTCAGATGGGATTTAAATCTAGTCCAACTAGCCCCAGAACCAGAGCTGTTTGCCCTAAGATGCACTGTCCCTTACTGTCGCCATCCTCTGGCCATCTCAGCATGAAAGCTGAAACAAGAATGCACAGCTTCACCTTGTATCTCATCTGGGAAAGTATGGGTCTGAGAAATTTTTCATTGATCTGTGTATATTCATGAAAGTGCCATGAGTACTAATTATAGAGTTACAAGTAAGTTCTAGTGACTAGGTGATTTCACGGATACAGAATCTGCAAATAATGAGGATTAACTTCATTGTGACTGTATATGAGGACTATTCAGGAAGTATCCAGTCATGTAATACGAAAAATAGAGACACTTACTGGAGAAGAGACAAGATATGAGGAACTGTACTTAGAATAATGATGCCTCAGTCCCCTTCAAAGTAGGTATCGTGGGACCTCAATTAGTTCTCCCAGTGTCTCTTCCACTGTTCAAACACTGCAAAATCCTTTGTTGGAACTGCCATTAGGTGCCTCATTGTTTTTTCCTGAATCTCATGGATGGTCTGAAGTCTCCTTCCTATCAAAGGTAATTTTAGTTTTGGGAAAAGCCAAAAGTTGCACAATGTGAAATCTGGGCTATAGAGGGGGGCTGAGTCACCTCGGTGATGTTTCGCCAAAAAACTACAAGACATAATACAGGAGACATGATGCATAAGCGGGTGCATTGTCATGATGAAGCTGCCAATCACCAATTGCCCATAGCTGCGCCATTTCCATTGTATTCCATCTCTCAACCAAAGAAGGACTCTGAGGTAGTACTTATTAACTGTTTGGCCTGGAGGGGTGTGTCAGAGATAGACAACACCCTCTCAATTAAAAAACATAGTTACCATGGTCTTGATTTTGCTGCAACTTTGCCATACTTTCTTCCGGGGTGGAGAATCAGCCTAATTCCATTGGGATGAATGGGCCTTCATTTCTAGATCCCACTCGTAGATAAACACCGTTCATCCCTGGTTATGACCATCTTGAGGAAACCTGGTTCACTAGTATTGGTTTGAATCAAGTCATTAGCAACTCCAACACAATGATAGCTGAAGCTGCAGAATGAATTTTGCCACAGCATTTTTCATGCCAAGATCCTGTATCAATATCTCAGACACAGTAGTTTCTGGAATCCCCAGATTAGCTTCTAGTTCTCACAATGTCAGTCGTCGAGCCTGTACACATTCAACATTCTCAGGTGCTCTGCTCGTTGTAGGCCTTCCAGAACATGGATCACTTTCAACAGATTCTCAACCATCTTTGAAGCGTTTGTGCCATACTTTTATTTGTGCTGCACTCATTGCATCATCCCTGAAAGCCTTCTGAATCATCCCAATAGTTTCCCTACAGGAATGGTCAAGCTTAACACAGAATTTGATGCTGATTCATTGCTCTATTCGTTCGTTTTGAATGCAATGGCCACGCAGTACATATGCTTACTCAACAGTGTCTACCACGCCCACTTACTAATTCAGTGAAGTCATCGTTGTTCATGCATATGCATTCCACTCTCCTTGGCTGCCAGGTTACATGAATGTCACACAAACTGTTCTTGTTATATTAACAATGGCTGGTCTTTTTCCAGACAGAACTTGTATATGCATATACATTATGGATATATGTATATATGCATACCTAAG